AAGCTATCTCACTTTAACTACACTTGGAATGTATCATTCTGTTTTTCTCTTTTCTAGGGTTTACAGTTAAAGATGTCTAGAGGCAAATAAATGGGAAACAGGTTCTGTGAAGGTCAACCAAATTATGGGAAATATCTATTTTCAGTGTTAGTTATCACTAGCCAAAAAGTTGAATTTAGTATTAGTTTATTAAATCCATCCCTAGGGATTTTCCAAGTTTGCATCCTTCAATATGAGTTAAATTAAACCTTAAACACTGCGGTGGGGGGCAGCAGGTACTAAAAAGTAGCCAGCTGTCCCAGCAGAGCAGGATGCCATCTCCTGGAATCATTGCTCTTTCTATACTTGAACTTAATTTAACATCCAGTTGGCTGGAAAATTCAACTAGAAAATTAGTCTGGTAACCAGATTTTTGTATAATTTTGGGGAAATCTGGTCATTAAAATTGTTTTAAAATGCATCCTTCACTGACAGTTGTAAGTTCTGGTAGCTTTCCTGCATGATATACTGCTCTTGAAATCATACTTAAAATTTAAATGTGCCTTAAGTGAATTAGAAATAAGCATTTAATAACTTGGTTATATCAGAAAGCCAGTCACTACTATAAAACACTACAAAAATGACTTTAGTGGAATTAAACTTATATAAGAAAACAAGGATCCTGAAGGAGTCTGATTGATAATTAATAAGAAATTCCTTCAAAAATCCCTTTGAAGAAAAGTGTTAAAAATAAAAAAACTGTCTTGGTCCATTTTGGCTGCTATAATAAAAATACTACAGACTGGGTGGCTTATAAACAACAAATTTATTTCTTGCAGTTCTACAAGTCCAAGCAAGATCAAGTTCCCAACAGAGACTGTGTCTGGCAAAAGCCCACTTCCTGGCTCATGGATGGATGCCTTCTCACTTGGTGGGAGGCGGAAGGGAACTCCTTGCCTTCTCTTTTATAAAAGGTACTAATCCATTCATAAGGGCTCCACCCTCAGGTTCTGATCATCCCCAATGTCTCACCTCCAAATACATCACATTAAGGGGATTAGATTTCAACATATTAATTTTGGGGGACACATTCAGTTGATGGCATTCCACCCCTAGTCAGGACAAGATTCATTCGTTTCATCCTAACAGCCAAAAAGTCTTAACTTGTTCCAGCATCAAAAGTCTGAAAGTCCAAAGTTGCATCTACATCAGATACGGGTAAGACTCAAAGTCTGAGTCATCCTGAGGCAAAGTCCTCTCCATCTATGAACCTGCAAAACCAAACAAATTATGTTTCCAAGATACAATGGTGGGACAGGCACGGGACAGACATTCTCATTCCCAAAGAGAGAAATAGGAAAGAAGAAAGGAGTGACAGGTCTCAGGTAAGTCCAAGACCAAACAGCACAGAACAACATTAAATCTTAAGGCTCAAGAATAATCTTTGACTCAATGCTCTGTCTTTTGGGCCCATTGGGATGGCCATGTTACCCACAGGGCTCAGCAGAATGGCCTTCCCTGCAGAGACTCTCTGCCTGGGCCCTGTGTATCTCCAGGACTGGCATTCAAAACCCAAAGCTCTCCCAGATGGCCCTATCCTTTGAGATCTAGGTGAAGGCAGCCATGCCCCCTTGACCTATGCACTATGAGCATCAATAGACATAGGGCCACATGGACCTGCACCCTCCAGACAGGTGGCCACTGGAGTCCATGCCATACCAGGGCCCACCAGAGCCACAGCTGGGGTGGCAGAGGAGCATGGCAAGAGAGTGTAGAGGGCAGAGCCCCCCATGTGAGGTAGGGCCAAGTAGCATGCAGAAAGGTCCCACAGGTATTGAAGGCCCTTCCTTTCAACCACTCAACCCCTAAGCCCTTGCAATACAGGCCTGTAATGGGAGAAGTGGCTCTGTTGACCACTGACTTGCCTTCAGGGTCATTCTTCCACTGTCCTGGAGAATAGTTTCCTGGCTTCTGTTCAGAAGGCTCACTCACACTGATCTCCTTATCAGTACCTTGGCCACACCCTCAGTGTTCTCATTTTTTGCTATATGGATAGGCTGAAAATTTTCCAAGTCTTTATGTTCTGCTTCCTTTTGCTTAACAATTCCATCTTTAAGTCATTTCTCACTGCTTGCATTTTACTCTAACAGAGGAAGCCTAACTGCACCTTCAACACTCTGCTTAGAACTCACTTCAGCTAAACATCTAGTTTCATCCCTTGCAAGTTCTATGTTCCACAAAACACGAGAACAAGAACATAATTCAGCCAAGTTCTTTGTCACTTTATAATAAAGAGGGCTTCTCCTCAAATTTCCAATACCATGTTCCTCAATTTCATCTGAGGCCTCATCAGAATGGCCTTTAGCACTCATGTTTCTACCAACATCCTGGCAGGATTACTTAGCTATTCTCTAAGAACACCAAGGCTGTCTCTACAGCTCTTTTCTTTCTGAGCTCTCACCAGAATCACCTTTAAAGTTCTGTTAAAATATCTACGCTTTTTCTAGAATGCAACTCAAAATGCTTACAGCTTCTACCCATTACCCAGTTCCAATGCTGCTTCCACATTTTTAGGTATTTGTTACAGCAGCACCCCCACTTCTCCAGTACCAATTTCTGTCTGAATCCATTGGACAACTATACAGAAATACTGTGGACTGGGTGGCTTAAACAACAAATATTTAACTCTCACAGTTTTGGAAGCTGGGAAATCCAAGATCAAGGTGCTGGCAGATTATAATGACACTAATCCTGTTCATGAGGGAGGGCTCCACCAGCATGACCTAACACCACCCAAACATCATCACATTGAGGTAATTCACAGGTTTGGGGGGGGGGAGGGATACAAGCATTCAGTCTATAGCAAAGACTCAATTACAAGTCAAAAGTAAGACAGTATTTTACTATAAACCATATTATATTTATTTAAAAGCCAAAAACAATATGATGAAGCATGAAAAACATGCAAATTTCAGAGTAGCTTTTGTTTTTAGTGAAACTGATGAATTTTACACAATGAAATACCATTAGGAAATATAGAAATTATAATATCAACCATAGTATAAAAATATAAGACCATAGAATTACTTTTTTAAGATTTTATTTATTTATTTGACAGAGAGACACAGTGAGAGAGGGAACACAAGCAGGGGGGAGTGGGAGAGGGAGAAGCAGGCTCCCCACTGAGCAGGGAGCCCAATGTGGGACTCGATCCCAGGACCCTGGGATCATGACCTGAGCCGAAGGCAGACGCTTAACGACTGAGCCACCCAGGTGCCCCAAGACACACAGTATGACTTTTAAAGAAAGTGGAATTATAACTGTAAGAGACAACTTAATACCATAAAAACTTTAAACAAATTTAAAATGTTATATGTTAAAAATAATATTTTTTTTTTAGTATTATGCAGCAGGTCTTGGGATGTAGGGGTACAGGCAAGTAAAAAGGAGGTTTATAGAGATAAACTTTCTCAATCCTATTTGATTTCATATATAAAATGTCAAAGATTATTATAAGAAATAATATATATGTCTAAGACTGCAATTATATTTTCAAATATAAGATAATTATTTTTTTTAGAAAGCAGCAGTTTTACATTTTTTTAAAAGCTAGTAGTAGCACCTAAAAATAAAAATTACCAGAAACTGAATAAAACTTTACCATGAAAAGATAAATATAATTTAAAAATGAAGCACCTTTCTTTGACTTCCAGAGGAAGTGTGAGCAAAGGCCCTCATTTCTGAATAATCCCATCTGAGAACACTCAGGCTTGTTTTACTTAGCAAGGAGAATACATTTCATTCCACATACTGGCTGTGTTGAAAGAACACAGTCCATGTCCAGATAGGAAGGTAGAGTGCAAAAGACGCAGGTTGATTCATCAGTCTATTCACTAATACACTATGCTTTTAACTAGCTAATAAAAAGAAGTACGTTTGTACTCTATGGTAATCCTACATAATTTTACTGGTAAGCTATAGTTCGCACAGAAGTAGCATGTTTGCTGTGTTTTATTATTTTCTTTGCATAGATACAGATTTGTCTATCATCTAAATAAAAAGCAGCTAAGAAATAATAGACAATGTCAAGATTTATAGGTTTTGCTTTTACAAAGTGCTACACAGAATGTCACATTTCAAAGTTCAGAAACAAAACTCTAACTCCTGGTATTAGAAAAATAGGGTGACTATCAGGGATCTTCTTGAAAAGTGGAAAAAAAAAACCAACCCAATTATCTTCTCTGTGTCACATCACATCAAATGATATACAAAGGTTCAAAAGGCATTCTTAAAGATTTGGCTAAACAAATTTTTTATATAAGGCATCTGTGACCAAGAGAGATGAAATGGATTACATGCAAGCTCCTTATACAGGCACTGATGTCTCTAAGTTGCTCAGAGCTAGACTGGCTGTGGTCCTTGTCACCTCCTTTCCTGATAGTCTGACCCTGACCCCATATACAGGCAGGTCCTGACTGACCATGCTAGTGAATGAGGGAGTACGCATGAAAAATATAAACCCTATGATAAAGAAGAAAAAAAAAACATGTTTGATTTGGAAATAAAATCAAAATTTTCATGGAAACTTAGAAACTTGCAAAACAAGGTTTTGATACATATGCACAAGTAAAGTTTTCCTTGTACGATAAACACACAGAATTTCCGTCTGCCTTCCTTTTTGTTTTTAAATATCAAGAGTATCATTCTTTTCACTTTGTCTTCAGTAACAGGACAAGAGGTAGGATTAGTAGGACAGGGTTAGGAATAATAGCTATATTACTCTATCTCAAAGATTGCTCTAAAAAGCTCACCATTTCATGACCTACTAATGTGAGAGCTCTCGGATTCATTTTCCCTTATGTCATGGTAAAGCATTTGGAAGTTCATTGTAATGTGTTTACTTGGTTAATGAGTCATAACTTTTTCAAGCTGAACTCCTAGGCTACCAAGAGGACAAATGAACAGATAATCAATTGAAACATGTTTAGATTGTATTCTTGCCCTTACACTGTTAGCCTGTTAGAGCTAATAACCAGTGAAAATAATCTGCAAAAGCAGATACATATATTTGCAAATAATTCAGGGGATTGTAAGCCCGATCCAACTTTTCTAATTTTTTTCATTAGCCATAATTGCTGATTTGCTGTGTCCATCTATCTTGATGAATGTTGTGGTGGAGATCTTTCAAAATACATGAAGTCCTGAAATTAGAAAAAGATACATACATATATAATATATACCATAGAGAGAGAGAGAAAGATAACTGTACATACATACATACATAATACATACATAATTAGATGCAATGCATAAAGTATTGTCCTTTATAATTTATCAGATGATCCTCATTCTAGTTAAGGATAAATAAATCTAATAAAACCTTTATGAAGAGGATCTCTAACATGAAGACCAGCAATTACAGACTTGGAACTGTTGGTAGCCAATAACATTTCCATTTGGGGGTACTGACTAAATTTTTGTTGTTAAAAGGAAGAAAAACTTAATCATTATTAAATATGTTAAATATACCAACTGCAATATGTTAGCTACATTTTTAAGGTAAATATATCCACTTTATTTCCACTTAACCACCGATGAGTCAGTAATACAGCAAGGGAGCTGTACCTAATAAATCTAAGAAAGATACAATGCCAAGGGGTCCACTGACAGAGAGGCAGTGGGGTAGAGGGAAAGGACATCAGCTTTAGAGTTAGTTACTTCATTAAGAAGTCATAGGATGGGCATCTTTAAGTAATGGGAAAGACAAACAACAGGCAATGAGGACAAGTATACCCAATGGATGCCCCATATTCTCCAAGTACTCTTCTGGCCCCTCTACTCACATGATAGCTAATGTTCAGCGCCCTGAAAAATATAAGTATTTTTATCTCCATTTTATAGGTAAGGCAAATGAGGTCTGGAAGTGCTAACCAATTTGCAAAATATGTAACTAGTAAGTGGTAGGGACAGACATTGTCCTACTTTCAAAGGTTACTGCCTTTGTATTACACAACACTGCCATCTCATCATAAAGAGTGATTCTCTCAAGACAACTCAAAAGCAAAAGACTTACAATGAGGAAGCAAGCTCCAAAAATCATGGCTTTCATCTTCACATCCAGGTCTAATGGGAAGTGAATTTCAAAGTGGTCAGCATCGCCCATTGCTGATAACAGACCGTTCCACTTCCTAATAATACTGCCAATGTTGGACATGCCATCAAGGGATTTGACCTAGAAAGATAAGAATATGACTTTATGATGACTGAAAAATATTATAATACATACTTCATTCTTCTACTTAGAAGCAGTTTACACTGTGACAGCATAAATACAGGACAGGAAGTTAATATAGTAATAATGTAGTTATGACTATAAAGTAATAAATTACTGTAAAGTAATAGGGAATTATGGCCAAGAAGGATAAAGTGCCTTGCAACTGGTTAATAACTGAGCTGGGGTGTAGCTGACAGTTCTCAGGCTAGTTCTCTTTCTTCATCCTCAAATGAGTTATTAGGGAGGTATGATTTGAGTTGATTCTAAAATTCTTTTTCATATAGTGAAGGATAGGAATTGGGGATTGGAAGGGAGTCTCTACAGCCTAGGGAAACACACGAACAAAAGTAAGGAAGCACAGTTCTATGTACTTCACAAACTTCAAATAATCACTCAAGTTTTTGTGGGCCAAATCCACCCTGTCTTCCTAGAGTATGTCAGAATCCTGAGGGGCTTTGGCTTGTAAAAGGGGGATTCTGGCACTTGCCAGAGGGAAAATACCCAAATACTAACTTTTGGTGATCAGAAAGATCCTATACACCTGCCTCTAAAATTTGGCTTATCCACATTTTTTATTTCACTACAATGGTCTTTTAATAAATAAGCAATGCTTGAAGAACTAAAAAAAAAGTTTATTGGGTATCATAGAAAATATCTGAATGAGCAACTTTAGATAATGAGTCTTGCTGAATTGCAAGGCATTCCAGGATTCTCTAAGAAGCTCAGGAAACATTTCTAGGAATCTCCTTTGTCAGATTCATAGGATAATAAGCACTCATTTTGTAGATACGGAGATAGAGGCAAAACAAGAGGATTTCCTGAGAAAATGTTATAACCTATTATGAGTTTTATCCATGTTATCAGTGTTATCCTATCTCTTAAGGACACAGACAACTTCTACCATGCAAATAATGTACACAATCTAGGGGTGCCCCATATGTTCTGTGATATGTTGGGCATTTTTGATAATCAGGACCTGCAACCCTGTAAATCTATGGTAAAAATGGTGAATTAAATACAACCAAGAATAAATAAATGGATTCAGTCATGCTATTTACTTTCAGGTTTAGTGTTTTAAATGGTTACTTCTTATCTTTATCAAACACTGAAATTAAAAAAAAAGTAGCTCACGCTTTGGAAAACAGTAAGCAATCCACTAACAATAATTTAAAAATGATTTGATGTCACCAATAACCCTTCCTCATTCTACTTTATTCATTCACATTAAAAAATAGTCTAAAGCCAAATGATTCTAAAGTCTGTTAGTACATGTAGAAAAAATAGTAAAAATGTCATTTTTATATCTGTTTACCTCAAAAACCGAATCTGAACCACAGCCGTAGGTTGAACACGGCCCGCGCACTTTCATCACATTTTCTTTCTTCTCGTTCTGGAGGCTGTAAACAGCCCTGCACAGGTTCCAGTGTTCCGCAACAAAGCCAATGGGGACACCGGGAGGACACTGCACCTCCAGCTGCAAAGAAGCAGTGACAGAGGGAAGGATGCTACATATATACCTGTATGCATACACACCACCCAGATGTACTCTTAAGTCTTTCAAGGACTAGAAGAATTGTCACTGATAGAGGACCTTCCTTTTTTACCCAGGCTCTTTCTTAGGGTTGTCGGTCAGAACAGCCTTGAGAGCTGAGGTGACATTTCCCTTTGGAACAAAGTGGCTGCTTGTTGCAAAATGGACAGTTCTCCCAAGCTCAGAATTGCTCAGCTGTATGCAGCATCTGAGTCAGCCCTAACGAACTTGGGCACACAGGGACCTGTGCCAACTGCATGACACTCATGCTGTTTACTGTGCTGCAGCGAAGTTCTTTGTCTCTGCTCTAGGTGTCTCATGTCTTCTGGCACAATTCATGACAAAGTAGCAAGGGAACTTCTTAGATTTGAATCTCAGACTTGACAATTATGAGAAAATAGAAAAAGAGGCATTCTGAAAACTGAGTATTTTTTTTAAAGATTATATTTATTTATTTGACAGAGAGAGAGAGAGCGCGCACAAGCAGGGGGAGTGGCAGGCAGAAGCAGAGGGGAAGGAGACTCCCCATAGAGCAGGGGGAGCCCGATGCGGGACTCGATCCCAGGACCCCGGGATCATGACCCGAGCCAAACGCAGCCACTTAATGACTGAGCCACCCAGGTGCCTGGAAAACTGAGTATTGTGAAAACAATAGAATGTGTGAACGGATATGTAAAGCCATATTAAAAAGTTTCAAAACTGTCCACTGCCTTGTTTTAGCTAAGCATCTTTACAATATTCCTTTGTGAAGAACTAAGATCTTCATATTTAATAATAACAAGAGTCACAAAATTAAATTACTTAGTAAAAGGCCAGAGTTAAAGTTCTACTGGTAGCTTTTCTGGCGTCATATACACTTTTCTAAGAGTTTTGAGTCCACCAGGTCTCATCATGGGGCAGTACTACATAGCTTCATGAACTGTCAAATCAAGATATTATTAAAAAAAAAAGATGTTACTGTTCATATGTATAGATTCACACATATACATAAGCATATAAATTTAATAGCTGCCTAGGATTAAGATCTTACACAAGTTTAGGCCTAAGAACTAAACAAATAAATAAAAACTGTACACAAGTAAATTACTTAAAAAAAATTCATTTGAGAAGAAAACCCAACTCATGAATATGAAGAATTCCTAGTATATTGAAAAGGACTAAGGAGTAAAGGTGAATATTCATCTCAAATATCAGGCTATTATTACAAAAACAGTAATGAGAGAGGCGTAAGATACCTGGGAACAACATTCTCTGAGCACTGTACTATCTGCCTGGTACTGTAATGAACAGTTAACATTTATTTACTATTTAATCCTCAAAGCAATCCTGTGTGATAGGTGCTATTATTACTTCCATCTTAAAGGAAATCAAAACACAGAGAAGGTTGTAAATAAATTAACATTTAGTAAGTGCTGGCACTTACCATGTCTTTTAAATATCCCAGGAATCCCATGGGGTATTGTTGTGCATATTTTATGTACAAGAGCACTGAGCCCCAAAAAAGTAAATTGCACAATTTAAGTAGGTGACATATCTGGAATTCAAAATTCTGGTGGACCTCTTGCTAAAGCTGCTTCTTTTCCCTGCAGCAAACAACCTTCCTAGAGCTGCACGGGTTGTAGAAGAGGAAGCCAACTGTAACTCAGAACACCTGCTCTCTAGGTCTGGCACTCGGGGGCCTGTAACAAGTGCCCTCACCAGGCACTTCATCTTTCTGAGCCACCCCTTCTTTATCTGTGGCCAGGTGTGGACTGGGATGGGGAGTGCAAAGTCATCCAAGGTCTCTTCCAAATCTAAAAGCATTCGATCCTGTCTAGTGACATCTTATCTGGGGATATGCAAGTACATTTAGACAAATGTGGTGACTTCTGTTCTAGGTCATAGCTACATTTCCAATTCAGTAGACACAAATGACAGAATTGTGGTCACCGAATAAATAACCCTAATTTGTGCCTGACCCCCAACTAGCACCAGAAGACGAGAAAGAACCCACAAGAAAAAGCCCTCTGTGATTTTCCGTGGGTGAGACAATGTGACCTCCTTCCTCCCCACTCTCTTCTTTCATTCTGACCAGCAGAGCCAGTGAAAATCCCCTCCTGTGTCATTCTGGAAGGAGCACAACTGTGCTGTGAAGACTTGGATCAGGAAGAAACCAGGGATAAGCCCTGCATTCTCTGACCTCTTGCCTGGTGGAGGGACAACAGAGGCAACAGCAGGTGCATCTGAAAGGTCTCTGCATTGTCATGATTTCTCGGCCCATACAGTCGGTGACCCGGAGGACAAAGGGCCTTAGCGTCCGATAAGCATTTCTGGTAAAGTCGTCTGTGTCTTCAGTTACGATGTAAACCATTTGGTCCAGGTTGTTTTTAATATCATATCTATTATTAGTTTCAAAAGATGTCATCACTATAAAATAAAATGAGAAAGACACTTTAAATTAAAAGCAGTTAAAACGGGCCCCGAGAAGTCCTTTTGTAGTATGTGTTAGGGGCTTAAAGCAAAATAGCTTTTCAAAAATTTAAAGTGAAATATTACCATTGATTAGGACACCACAAAATAATTCAGATGCCCAATAAATATTTGGTAATTTTGAAAATTTAAAACATTTCTTTTAAGGAGGTCAATATAAAATGATTTTTAAAACTTTTCCACATAAATGCAAAGACTAAAACTATATTCCTGGAGTACCTGAATTTAGAAAACTTTAATAAAGAAACCATTTAAATAAAAGTATACATTTTACCATAAAATAGCTCAAGAAATATACTGAGATGGTTAGAGTCATTCCTAATTGCAAATAGGAAAATGAACCAAGAAGACTCAGGCTCTGTGTAGTGGTCAAATGAATATGCAGATCTGGTGGTAAAGAGAAGGTCAGTAATCCAGTGAGGATGAACTGAGATCAAGCAGCATGTTTACTGTGATTTCTTTTTACTTCTAAAGCAAGGGCACTGGACTAGAACTTAGCAGATTTAGATTCTATTTCCAGCTCTACCAGCTGACTATATGGTGCCCCTGGCTAACTCATTTATTCTCTAGGTTCCTTCTTTTCCTCTTCCATGAACGATGACTATGCAGACTAGGGTGCGAAGGGGGAGTTGACCAGATGAAATATAAGTCTTTTTCAAGTCTAAGAACTTAGGTATGGTACGTAAATAGATACAATTATACAAAATAATTCCCTTTATTACTTTCTTGAAAAAAGGGTAGAAGAAGATAGTCTTTTCTCTTTGAATCACTAAGAAATGATCATTGGGTAATGCAAATTTCCACCTGATTCAAATACTGCTGAACACTACAAAATTATACATACTTTCCAGAGGCTCAAAATGCTGAAGGACGTGTATGTTGTCCAACTGTTGGGATAGAACAAAGCAATTAGCAAAAATAGAAATAACAGAATTAAATCAAATCAGTGCTAGAAAAGAAGCTGATGAGACAGGTATGAAAATGTATTAATTGACACCAAAATATCTTTTTGAAATTGAATGAAATAAAAAAATTATCAAGTGAAATTTAGCAGAGCTGTCCAGATAGGAATACCACTTTTCTCCAGTTCTATTTTAAAAGATAAAGAGTTGCAAAAAAAAAAAAAAAAAAAAGATAAGCAGTTGCCTGGCACATCAGAAAATCATCTTCCTTCTACAGTAACAGCATCTAGAAGAAGCTGTGTTGACACAGATTGTTTCTAGCTCAGCCCCTACTCACTAATCTCATTGACATGTCTGTCACTCACTGAACTCACAGCCTGGAGGTGCTCAGGAAGTTTGGGACAGTTTAACATGGACGAGCCACAGAGGAAGCTACTTTCTCAGTGGCTTACAGAGAGCAAATCAGCCAGGGACCTCACACTGTAGTATCCAGTTTTACATTATTTTCACAGGTACCTCTGGAAGATGTTAACACACTGATTTCCATTCATTTGAGGTCCTAATGCCAGGGGCTTCCCTAGGTCCATACTTTAATGAGGGTCCATAAGGCTGGAAGCATGTGATTAGGATTAGGACAAAGGGGAAATATTCTGGAATGGGATCTCTTGAAAAGGGTGTTGGGAACACCACTGGATAAACTTCTGCCTTAATTTGACTTAGGAATCACTCTAAAGACAGTTTGATGGGTTCAGCACCTGATATTACTTGACAATATTATAGCAGAAAAGAAGAAACCTCTTTGAGAACAGAGTAATTATATCTAAATAATTTTAGATGATATAGATCATTCCTAATCCTTGGGCCCAGAATATTGCCTGCAATGTCCCATTTCACCTAATAGTCACTGAATACTTTAGCTAATAAAAAAGTACATGAATGTGGTAATAAAGTAAAAAATAACTAGACATAAATATTTTGTGGTGTAATTGATTTCAGGAGGGTATAGGGAAGATATAATCCTTCATGAAAACCTTTTTCTTATATGAAAATACAATCAGGTAAGAAGGTCTAAATCTGTCTTATAAAATGCTGAAAGTGGTCACTAAGGAGGTTCACAGTTCCTTTAAAAATCCAGAATGTTAAAATCTAGAACTCAAAGTAAAAATATTCATTGTTGATAAAAGCATCCACTGCTGAGCAAAATATTCTAAAGAAATAATGCCTGTTAATGTAAAAGAAGTTTGTCCAATGAGATTCTATGGCTGCTATGGATCAGTTCTCTAACAAACTGGTAGGGTCACTGGCCAAGCCAATACTCTAGAAATAATATAATCCTGTTACTTTGAATGCTCCAGAATCTTTACAGTCTGATAATGATTCGTGGAATCTATATCAGAGATTGCAAAAAGGCTGGGATAAGGAAAATGATAAAGCAAATGACTGGTTCTGTCTTCTTTTTGCATATGAGGTGTTTCAACTAATAATATCCACAAGCAGCCGCCCATTGGATGGCCTTGTGTGCCCAAAATAGTAGGCACACTGTAAATCTTAGCTCCTGAAAAATTCTCCTAACAACCCAATAAGGTATGTATTGATAGTACTATTTTATTGATGAGGAAATTCAAGCACCAACAGGTTATGAAAGTTCCTGAAGGTTGCAGTGAGGAGGGAGTATAAGTAGAATTTAAAACCGGGTTTGTCTGGCTCCACACCTGTTTGTTTCTTTTTTCACTTATTTTTTTTTTTAATTCAAACCATCCCTGAAAGACAAAACAGAATTCATAAAATATGTTCATTTAACTCCTGTCAGAGTAATAGAAGAAATGAAAAAACTTGGCAAATTAAGAAAACTGGCAAGTCCCTTGCTTATAATGTATTTCAACATCTCCTTTTTCTAAAACCAAACATGATTGTACCAGCTTCATCTTATTTTCATTAAGCAATTTTTTTGAGTCTCTGACATGTGGTTTTAAGTGATACCATTTGGTATATGGATTTGACATACTGCCCCAGTTTCTGATCCGGATATCCTGGTAGCTTCAGAACATCTATATAGATGGAAAATAAGAATCCACTGTGTTGTGGGAAGGGGGTCTCTGAATTTGGCCTGAAGAGAACCCTTGGTAAGTCTCCTCTTTTTTTTTTTTTTTTAGATTTTATTTATTTATTTGACAGAGAGAGAGACAGCGAGAGCAGGAACACAAGCAGGGGGAGTGGGAGAGGGAGAAGCAGGCTCCCCGCCGAGCAGGGAGCCCGATGCGGGGCTCGATCCCAGGACCCTGGGATCATGACCTGAACCGAAGGCAGCCGCTTAACCGACTGAGCCACCCAGGCGCCCCTCCTCTTTTTATTGACACTTTTATGTTTGGAGGGTGGCAGAAGTGGCTAATGAAAATTGTGGGTAATGAGAAAAAGGGATAGGCAGAGACACTCAGTGACTCACTCATGGTCTACTAATCTGTTCTTCATGTTGTTAACGCTTCACTTCTATGCAAACGACACCTCAATTAGCATCTTTGATAGTTTTCCCTGTTTCTTAAACTGCCTTCCACAGGACACCTTGCAGATCTTAAAATTCAGCATACATCCTTTAGAAAGCCATACTGACTCCACCAAATACAGGCCTGCACTCATTTTCCCTTCACCTCTCTGAAATCAGTACCACCATTCCTATGGTCTCACAAACAGGACCTCTGTCATCACTGACCCACCACCTTCATCCACTCTATCCAGCTTTGGATCTCTTCTTGTCAGATCCCCAGTCATACTTCATCAGAAAATTATCTGGATTTGTGTGGAGTACCTGGGTTAAGTATTCCAGACCAGGAGGACAGTTTGGCATAAGAGCAGGCCCTGGCATCCATGTTACTGGAACAGGCTGATTTGGCATATGATATTTGCCAGGCTGGTACTGCATAGGATGAATACCACCAGGTAGCTGGTATGAGGGGAAGGCACAGGGATGCTGCAGGCTGTAGTATCCCACAGGCAAGCCTCCTGGGTAGCCTGCAGGTGCAGGGACAGCTGGTCCAGGGGGTCCTGTATCCAAAAACAAAGGAAAATGTTATACACTATTAACACTGTAACACATTGGAATTGAGAATGACCTTTTACATGAAAAATGTATGTGTCACACAATATCCACTTCAGACTAAAACATGATCCATTTTCTGAATGTGTACCATGCACCAACAATGTACTAAGTAAGGGGCTTTACACAGTAACTCATTTAATCCTCTTAAACTTTGTAAGATAAGTATTCTACACAAAGGTGTAGAAATAAGGTTTGAAACATCAAGTAACCTGTTGGCTTCTCTGTAATAGGTTTCTCCCTTGGAGATAATAATATCCCTACTTCAGTAGGTTGTAGTGGGATTAGCACAAGACTTAGCACATAATTAGCACTGTACATTTATGTTATTATGTTTATTGTTATTATTGTTTAAGGTCACAAAGATAATAACTTCAAAGGGGTGTTTTTAATGATGGCTAAGTAATTCAGAACAGTTTTATCACCCCAGAAAGAAAGCCCATACCCATTAGCAGTCATTTCCTATCTTTTGCCCCAGCCCTTGGAAACCACTGTCACTACAGATTTGCCTAACATGGACATTTCATATAAATGAATTCATGTAACATGTAGCCTTTCTGTCTAGTTTCTTTGATTTAGCATAATATTTTCAAGGTTCTTCCATCTTGTAGCATGTACTAGTACTTAATTCCTTTTTATGGCTGAGTAATAGTCCATTGCATGGACATACCACATTTTATGTATTCATTAATCAGTTGATGGGCATTTGGGTTGTTTCTAACTTTTGGCAATTATTTATAATAACACTGCTGTGAAATAAGTGTACAAGTTTTCAGTTCTTGAGTATACACCTAGGAGTGGAACTAGCCTTAATGTTTTAAGGGAATGCCAAACTGTTTTCCAAAGTGGCTTCACTGTTTTACACTCCTACTGCTGAACTCATTTATTAGTGCTAGTTGTGTGTGGATGTGTGTGTATTCCTTAGGATTTTCTACATACAAGATAATGTCATCTGCAAATAGAGATAGTTTTGCTTCTTCCTTTCCAATCTGGATGACTTTTATTACTTTTCCTTGCCAAATTGCCCTGGCTAAAACCTCTAGTACAATGTGGAATAGAAGTGGCATGAAGAGATACCCTGTCTTGTTCTTGACTTTAGGGGGAATGCTTTTGGCTTTTGCTATTAAGCATGGTGTTTTTCATAGATGCCTTTTATTAGGTTGAGGAAGTTCCCTCCTATTCCTAGTTTGTTAAGTGTTTTTAATCATACAGGATGTTTCACTTTGTCAAAAACTTTTTCTCTATCTATTGATATGATCATATGATTTTTCTACTATATTCCATTCATATGGTACATACACTGACTAATTTTCGTATGATAAACCAACCTCTCATACTTGGGACAAAGTGTACTTGGTCATGGTATATAATCCCTATTTTAAATTGCTGGATTTGGTTACTACATTGCTAGTATCTTGTGGAGCACTTTTGCATCTCTATTTATAAGGAATATTGCTCTACAGTTTTCATTTCTTGTGATGTCTTTGTCTAATTTTGCTAATAGGGTAACACTGGCCTCACAGAATTGGCTGGGAAGTAAGTGTCCACTATTCTTACATTTCTTGTAAAGGGCTGGTATTAAAATCTTCATTAAGCATTTGGTAGAATTCACTAATGATGCCATCCAGACCTGGGCTTTTCTTTGTCAGAAATTTTTAAATGACTAATTCAATCTTTTTACTGTATAGCTCTTCTTTAGGTTTTCTATTTCTTCTTGGAGTCAGTTAAAGTTGTGTTTTTCTAGGAATTTGTCTATTTCATCTAGGTTTTCCAGTTTGTTGGTATACAACTATTCATAGTATTCTCTTGTAATACATTTAAATTTTTTTAAGCTTGTTAATAATGTCTCCATTTTCATTCTTGATTTTAATATTTTGAGTCTATTTTTTTCTTGGTCAGTCTAGCTTAAGATTTCTCAATTTTGTTGATATTTTCAAAGATCCAACTTTTGGTTTTGTTAGTTTGGCCTATCGCTTTTCTCTATTTCATTTACTTCTACTTTAAATTCTGTTATTTCTTCCTACTTGCTTAGGGTTTGGCTTCGTTCTAAGGTGAAAAGTTGGGTTACTGATTTGAAGTCTTTCTTCTTTTTTAATGTAGGTGTTGATAGCTATAAATTTCTCTCTCTTTTTTTTTTTAAGGTTTATTTATTTGAGAGAGAGAGGACAGGCAGAGGGGGAGAGAGGGAGAATCTTAAGCAGACTCCCTGCTGAGCACAGAGCCTGATGTGGAGCTCAATCTCAAAACCAACTGAATCACCCAGGCTCCCCTCTTTATGCTCTGTTTTAGCTGTATCCCATAAGCTTTGGTATATTGAGATTTTATTTACCTCAAAAGTATTTTCCAATTTCTCTTGTGATTTCTTTTTGCCCTTTTGGTTATTTAATGGTGTGTTAATTTCCTCGAATTTCCCAATTTTCCTTCTATTTTTATTGATTACAAATTTTCTTCCATTGTGAAACCTATATGATTTTAGTTGTTTTAAATTTATGAGACTTGTTTTTTGGCTTAATCAGTAATCTATTTTGAAGAATGTCCTATATGCACTTGAGAAGAATGTATATTCCACTGTTGTTGGGTAGAGTAATCTATAGGTGTCTATGTTTAGTTTGGTGTATAATATTGCTTATGGCCTCTATTTCCCTTTGACCTTCTGCTTAGTTGTTCTATCCATTACTATAAGTGGGGTAGTGCAGTCTCCAACTCTTATTTGCTGAATTGTCTATTTTACCTTTGAATTCGGTCATTTTTTGCTTCATATATTTTGGAGCTCTGTTTTTAGATGTGTGTATAGATATAATTGTTATGTCTTCCTGATGGATTGACACTTCTATTATTGTAAAATGTTCTTTATCTCTAATAACAACTTTTGCCTTAAGGTATATTTTGTCTGATCTAAGTATAGCTATTTCACTAAATCTTATCAACAACGAAGTTTGAGAAACATTGTGCTAATATAGTGTTTTATAATACATACATACATTAGTGGGCCGTGAAATCAATTTAATGATTAACAATTAAAATTTTTTAAAATAAAATTTACTACACTAGAATAAAATAAAATAGAAAAAATCAAACTGTATTGTCCATATGCTGTATACTCACTGTCTTATTGCTTGATGGCATATATATAATAAATACATATAAATATTGTTATATATAAATATATACATATATATTATTTACTGTGGGTCATAGTAGATTGTCATTAAGAATGTTTAAGGGGGCGCCTGGTAGACCATGTGAATCTTGATCTTGGGGCTGTGAGTTTGAGCCCTACATTGGGTGTAGAGATTACTTTAAAATAAAAGAAAGAAAAAAAAAAAGAACGTTTGAAAGCCAGTGATTTAAAGACCCTTTTGTTTAACCAATGTAAAAAAGAAAAGATCCTTTTGTAGAATGGAAAAGATGGAGACAATGTCACAAAACTGTTACGCATAATCACATGGTTGCAAATAGTTTTGTGGATCTTCTCCTTGAAGGGAAAAAACAAATCTTACCTAAATATAGGTTAAACTGAGTTTCTTTCTGAAAATTGCTATTTGTTTATAAAAGTACTGCTTATAATGTGTGGATGTGCATGTATCTGTGTTTTCTTATACTGGGATGTTGGTCCAGAAGACAGCAAGGGGTGTCAGAAGCTGAGATTCACTTCCTGTCTAGCTACGTGCACTAAAGGGAACAAGCCTGGGATAGTTGTAGCCATATTTCCCAAAGTAACCCAGGCTCTGGGCCTGCGGCTCCAGACTGGGGAATCTGGTATCTTTTTGTAATCAGAAAGCAATGCCACACAGCTATGTAGGGCAGGGACTGATATTTCCTGAAAAAATGTGAACAGTCCATTGGTGGCTGTTCTTTGAAAAGGTCCCTCCTGCAGAATGAAAAAGACCTGAGAGAGTCGGGTAAGGTGGAGATTATGCTCTCTCTCAGAGAACCCAAAGAACTGGATCCTGGACACCATACACACCAGGAAGGAACTCTTGTTTGAGGAAGCTATGTTTGTGTATGTGTGTATATATATATAAGTAGTGATAGGTAATTAATACTTGCTCAGCTTTTATTATGTTCCAGGCACTGTTGTAACTACTTTACATATATTAAATCCTATAATCTAGGCATCAACCTTATGTGGTAGAGACTATTATTATTATCCTTAATTTACAGAGGAAAAAACTGAGGCATAGGAGGGTAAGTAACTTGCTCAAGAATCAATAATGTCAATATGCAACAGAGTCAGAATTAAAACTCAAGCATTCTGACTGCAGAGGCACCCTTAATTAAATTATGCTAATACTCCGTTTAGATCAGAGAGGCGAGGAACATGCAAAATAGGACTCTCTGGATGGCCTTGAAACTACAGAGTAGAAGAGCAACTCTAGCTGGCTGCTATATTTTTAGGTGTGCGCGTGCGCACACACACACACACGCACACGTGCGCACACCCCTCCTAGGGGATGTCATAGTACAGAAAAAACAGTGTAGCAGGCAGAAAGCTGGCTGCAGAAAGAGTAAGCGGTCACCAGCATAGAGGCAAAGCAGTGGTCTGGGGTCAGCCAATGCTGAGGAAACCAGCCACCACCAGGAAGAGAGACTCCCCAAGACTTCCAGAAGTTGTCTGGGATGAGAAATAAAGACAGATAGCACTTCCTGTAAGGCAAATTGGACAGAGGGTCAGATTCCGGTGATTTGGGCATTAAAGGGAAGAGTGGCTTTTGACACTCATGAAGTCCAGAACATTTTGGTTTCTCATCAAAATCCCACTTAGGAGCATCATGAATTGTGGAACTATTTCTTCTAATACTGTCTGAGAACCAGGCCATGAAATAAGTCAAATATTTATTTATTTGGGAAACACTCCACAATGCCATTTCAAGGGCCAGCTGCTGTGCTTGCTGCTAGAGACAGAAAGATGTAGAAAGACATGTCTTTGAGGACATTCAGTTCTACA